TACATGTTAAAAAGCAGCTTTCTAGGCTCAAGGTTGATTGTGGAGTCAGAGCCCCGGAATCTGCACTTTAACCCACATTGTTGGTGACGGACGGGGTGTCCCAGGGACCACACTTTGAGAAACACCACTGTAGGGGGATTTGTGTTTAATCTCTAGGTGACTTCCCTTTGTCTGCTCTTATTTTCCCCCTCCGAGGAGGGGATCAGTAGCCATCATTAAGAGGAAAATTTCTTTGGTTGTGTTGTTCTATGTAGGGAGACGAGGAAGTCAGCCCACAGACGGGGAACGTGACTGGTTGGACGTGGGCGGTGATATTTCTGCACGTCTCCTGGGAAGGCATATGCTCGTTTGGAGACCGTGAGACAGGCAGGAGAAGCAGGCCTGAGTTGCCATCCTCCTTGCACGGGAGCTGGGATGTCAGGTGGTCCAGGTGAAGATACAGAGCTGATCACAGACAGCTGGGGAGAGATGAGCTGAGGGTAACTAGGATTTGGGTAACTGGGTAGAAACAAAGCTAATATTTTAAACTGGTTTAACTGGTTTCACCAATTAAACTGTGCATTGTTGGGTGAGATATTAAATTCTCTGAGTCTCAGATTCCTCCTTTTAAAATGGGAAAAAAATGGCATCTCTGTGGCAGGCTTGTGGTAATGATTAGAGATGAGTTTGTGAAGCACCTGGCCCAGTCCTTGGTGCAATGTAAACATTTGGTGAAAGTCATTATCAATGAGCGCAAATGGGATCTGAGCTCAGGTGTTTCTTGAGGACCTTCTAGACTAGGGTTCTGAAGTGGTCTAGAAACTCTCGATGTTCCATAGGAGATAGGGTGAGTGAGTAGGTGCACACATGCCTCCATTTTGGGGGGCAGAAGAGCCATAGTTTTCTTTAGATTCTCAGAGGATGGGCTGTCATATACAGTTGAGTGGGTTGTTTACTCAACAAGGGGACCCAGACTGGGGGGGAGTCAGGGGCAGCTGAAACCCAGCCTTGCACTCAGGGGTCTGGCCCATCTGGGGAAGAGGCAGTGTTTTCTCATTCCCACAAAGCAGTCCTGTGCATGAGGTTAAGAATTTCTTAGTTGGAAGAAACTGGCTTCATCTCCCCCGATTCACACTCCTTCAGCTCATGTTCATTGTAGGTGGGGCCCCCAACCTCACCCCTCACCCCTGCTTCTAGTTCCTATTCCCATGGGAAAGAGCTGCTGAAATGGAAGGGGAGAAGCCACAGGACTAGGGAAGGCAAGGGAAGGATTTAAGTTGGAAGGAAACTAATTAGAAGAATAGGTTTGGCAGAGACCTTAATTACTGGGCAGTTACTCACGCTGAATCCTCTTGATGGCTGTGGGGCAGCTCTCCCAGGAGGCCTGCCCCTCCATGACCACGAGGAATGAGGTAATGGTGGTGGTTTGGGCCTCTTAGATGAGGGCCTGCAGGTGGGAAGGCCAACTGTGTGTGTGTGTGTGTGTGTGTGTGTGTGTGTGTGTTAAAATACACCTAACATAAAATTTACCGTCAGTGACATTTATACCTTCACAGTTTTGTGCAACCATCACCACTGTCTAGTTCCAGAACATTCTCATCACCCCAAAAAGGAATCCCTGTCCCCATTTCCCCCTCCCTCCAGCCCCTGGCAACCACGAATCTGCTTTCCGTCTCTACGGACTTTCCTGTCCTGGATATTTCACGTCAGTGAGATTGTACGATATGTGGGGTTTTGTGTCCAGCTTACTTCATGCAGCATGATTTCAAGGTTCATCTGCGTTGTAGTGTGTATCAGTACTTCATTCCTTTGCATGGCTGAATATTCCTTTTTACGGACACACCACATTTCGTTGGTCCATTCATCACTTGACGGACACTTGGGTTGTTTCTACCTGTCGGTAATTGTAGATAATGCTGCTGTGAACATGTGCGTACCAATTCTGTGTTTGTTGTTTTCAGTTCTCTTGGGGATGTAGCCAGCTGTCTGCACGTCTTTATTTTTTTTTAATATTTATTTATTTAGTTGGCTGCTCTGGGTCTTAGATGCGGCACGTGGGATCTTCGTTGCCTCACGTGGGCTCTTAGTTGTGTCACGCGTGTGGGATCTAGTTCCCTGACCAGGGATTGAACCCGGGCCCCCTGTATTGGGAGCGCGGAGTCTTAACCACTGGACCACCAGGGAAGTCCCTGTCCACGTGTCTCTGACTCCTGACTTACTAGAGGCCAGCCAACAGGAGGAACTTCTTTCTGGAAGAGGGGAGAAAACAAGGGGACTGTGGCTGCCTGGGGGGCAGGGCGGAGACAGAACACAGTCAGATGGTGGGCAGAGCGGGGCCCCGAGGGGATGTGGAGACCTCTTTGCCACGTTGGCCAAATTAGGAAATTGGCTGAGTTGGCCCAGGTGCCCCCCCCCCCCTTTCAGCACCTCTTGGCCCTTCTGGGCTCAGCATCAGGGATGCCTCCCCCAGGTACCTTCCAAAGGGTCCTGCATTTCCTGGACGGGGGAGACCTCAGAGCCATCGTGGCCCCTACCTGGCCATCAACGTCCTCAGACGGAAACCCAGGCTTCTTCTGACCCTACAGAGTTAGGCAGATTAACCAGTCATTCTAAAGAGAAAAGCACCATGCAGCTGTGGAGACAGGACAGATGTCACTGGTGCTATTTCACAAGGGGGACCCAGAGGGACGGAAGGTTCGGTCCACGCTCTCCACCAGCCCAGCTAAGGAGAGGTCTTTTCACCAGAGTATGTGAGTCAGCATCGTGACCCAGTGGCCTCCCCTGCAGGTCTGTGTTTGCCTTCTAAGTTGAGGACTCCTGGAAACAGAAACCTCAGAGAAGGGACTGTTAACGGGGACATTTCAGCCGCAGTGATGGGGCGGGTGGGGCGGAGGCCGGGTGTGTGCCCCTGAACTTCACGTTATAGGGGGCAGAGGCTGTGTGAAGCCTGGTCTTGTTCAGCCTTGAACGGCCCCCCGTTCCGCTGGGAACGCCCATTGGGCACAACTGGTGACAGGCACTGTCCTAGGTGGCCAGTTTGTTATTGATCTCCACGGCATCTGCCACAACTGGGCTGATGTTTCACAGATGTGGCAATAGACACAGCTGGTTGAGTCATTTCCCCAGGTCACGTGGCAGCTCAGGGGCCGTGTCAGGATTGAATGAGCCTGAGGCCAGAGGGCTGGTTTTCACGGTGCTTCTGGGTCCCTCTCTCCTCTGCAACCTATTTCTGGCCACGTCCGTCTCTGAGCCTTGTTTAATAGCTCTTAACAATTTCTCATTTCTTACCAGGTTACTTAGACAAGCTGTAATCTGGCCTTCCCTTCTTGGATGCTCTAAGTTACCTGAACTCAAGCAGAAGCAACCTGGTTCTATTGATAGAATGTTCCTCTCTTCAGCCAACCTCCTGAGCTCCCCACTCGTATTTTACTAGCAACTCCACTCAGCCAGAATGTCTGTCTCCTGCCTGTGTGCAGACACTGTGCTCATCACAGGGCTTGCATGTGTTTCGACCGCCTTCCAATCTGGAAGAGGCCGGAGCAGTGTCCGGACGCCTAGGTAAACGTGCACAGCGGTGTACCTGGGCTCAGTGGACATGCTCTGCTGGTGAGGAGGCCTCCTGGCTTCTCTCTGGCCCCTGGTAGTTCTTTTAGAAGCCAGCGCACGGAATCAGAGAGGAGCCGTAAGTTAACAGGTGTGGGAGACAGAAGCGATCGGGGCGTGGGGGAAAGCTTTTAGTTAAATTGTGAAAATTCATAATGAAACGTACACCGCCGTTACTCAGAGGGCCATGGGGTGGCTGTGTTTACTCGAAGTCCCAGGAGAAGCTAGGATTGATCCCATCCCGCTGAGGGTGTGCAGGGCACCGCAGGAAGCAGAAGCACGTGGCTTTGCAGCTTCAGAAAAGCTGAGAGGAGTCTGGGAGCTGTGTGTCTCTACTGCTCACTTTCAATCTCTTATCTTCCTAAGCGGTGGTCATCAGTGATCAGAACCTGCCTCCGTGGGCATGGCTGGGGGATGCTGAGGGCACTTAGGAGCTGACGCGGTTTAATATCGTCTGAACCAGGGTCCAGCTTTGTTGAGAAATTCACAGCATCTCTCCTCGTGTGGCTGGAATTCTGATTTTAGTCAATTTACTTTCTTCACAAGGAACAGCAATTGTATGACGGGCTAACTTGGACCTTCTTATTTTTCAATGTTCTTTAGCTAACAACTTTTGCTTTTGTGTTTATTGAAGAAAATTTAGATGAGAGAGAGAAGCAGAAAGAAAAGAATAAAAATTCCCCAGAATCCCACCACCACAGATCGCCTCTGTTTTAGCCTTTGTGTCTGCATCTTGTTCTTCTGCTCTATGCTTTTTCTCTGATTTTTTTTTCAAAGTACTGCCGTGCATAGTTTAAAGAATTAAACCGCACATCAGTGCGTACGATAGAAAGGAAGTCTGTTTCGACTCAGATTCCCAGCTCTCTTTGCGAGAGTTATTTGGACACTTGACTAGAAAAACCCCACCTAGATCGTTATTGATTCCTGGCTTTATTATGGAAGGTTTAACATCTCGCTCTGCTGAGACTTGCATTAATTACTCCTGGTCAGTTCCCACAGCAGGCCCTGGGCCTTGTCTGCTGCTGTATTTGGTGGTCCTGAGGATTTTCAGATTCCACAGTGGGAGCTGGAGAGTGACCCGCCTCCTCCAGGCAGGTGCAGCAACCCTGTGAGTGGTTTTCTGGGGGCCCGGGAGGAGAAAGCCCAGCTCTTGTGTTAACTGACGGGCATCTCCCCCGTCCTCTGGGGGGTGCTGTCCCTTCTGCGGTGGTTCTGAAAATCAAGGGCTGCTCATACCTCATGCTCAGGCAATCCCCGAAATCACACCTGCAGCCCGTAACCTCAGGGAGGCCCGTGGGCCACACGCCCCCGCCAGTGTCGAGCCATTCCAGGGAGACTTCATCTGCCTCTGACTTCCTGGTTGAAAGACAGTTGCAAAAATGCCACATGTGTGTGACCTTCTCTGTCTTCCTCCACAGAAGCCTGGAATGGTCCCCCCTCCACCGGGAGAGGAAAGCCAGACCGTTGTCCTTCCACCAGGCTGGCAGAGCTACTTGTCCCCTCAGGGCCGGCGCTACTATGTCAACACGGCCACCAATGGTGAGTCCCGCTCTGGGCAGCGTCCTGTGCCCGCCCCGGGGTCCTGTCCGTCTGGAGGGGTGGTTCTCTCCTCCCTCCTTCACCTCCTGGGCTTTAGACTTTTCCTCCCGAAATCTACCTCAGAGGCTGCAGGGGAATCTTGCCTTCTTCACAGGGCTGGGTGACAGGGGTCTGAGCCTGGGTGGGGAAAGATGCCCTTCAAAGTTGGGGTCATCCTTGGAACCTCACAACCACCTGGCATCTTTGTGGAACCCAGCCTCATGGTCTGGGGCTGTGTTTTCCAAACTGAGATCGCCAGAGGGTCTGCGGTCCACAGCTGGTTTAAATCAAATCAAACAGGTTACGCTACTGCATGATTTCTTGGAACTTGGAATGTGCTGATTGATACCCGAACAAGGGTTTTGAGAGTGGGGTTTCCCTAATTACATCACAACATCGCTCTCTCTTCCCTGAAGTATCTCACTGGCTGGAGTTTCCTAGGATGTTTTCTGGGAAATTCTGGGGCTAGTTATGGATTATTTATTCTAACCGGTAATTAGAGGTTCCCTGTGCATTTCTGAGTTGGGTCAGGACCACATCTCTTTGCCTCCGATTATTGTAGGCCTCCTGAGCCTTCACAGCAACTCCAGGATCCTAGCACGTAGGCTGTAGAATGACCTTCAGGAAGGCTGGAGCAGGCTCATACAAGGAGGAGTGGTGGCCTCTATAACAAGGTGGACAGAGCAGTGTACAGGCTGTGGTCTCGGGCTGGGCAGAGCAAAGCCAGCCACTAGCTCTGTCTCTTGACCACCAGAGAACGGAGAGGATGGAAACACAGAAAGTTAGATTTGGTGGGAATCACAGATGTGTGTGCCAAGGCAGAACGTGGATTCGGGTAGGATTTCGGCACCTCACTTCCCCCATCTGTGCCTACCTGACTTATGGCTACCTCCTCCCTCCCGACAGCACCATTGATATGGTTTATGTCTATGAACCTGCACTTGGCGGGAGCGGGGTGGGGAACTGGTGACAGGAGAGCCAGCTGCTGTTTAGAGGAAGCAACAGAGAAGGCAGCTGACAGCTGCCACTTGGGGCGTCTGGTTTGTTTATATTCCCTGGCAACCTGGCCTTCCGTTCAAGGAGGGGTGTTCTAGTTGAAGAGGTAACCAGGGGTTTCTAGGAAAAGGGAAGTGGAACTAGTTCTGACCATTCTAATGAGAAGCTTCCTCACAATAAACCCGTGAGCAGCTTTGTTATCAGACTTTGAAGTTTCGGAGGTGAGTGTGTTTATGGGCAGTGCCCCATCTGTAAAGTGCGGAAGTTGGACCAAATGATCCTGAGATCATCAAGAATTCGGCTCCATTCTTGTCCTGAATTAGCCACTCTGTTGCAAAGGGGCAGAAGGGTAAAAGTCGCTTTCTGAAATCTAACTGATTTTTTAAAAATAGCCGTGTAACAAACAGTCCGTTGCTAGTATATGCTCTCATTCATTTAACTAGCCCTCTCTTTAGTAAGGGGATACTTAAATTCCATTTTATGTTACCAGGCGGTGTGAATTTCCAATAACTTGCATGTCAAGGAATAGGGTTCTTTTTTCAGCCATTTAAAAATGTAAAAGTCAGGCTTCCCTGGTGGCGCAGTGGTTGAGAGTCCGCCTGCCGATGCAGGGGACATGGGTTCGTGCCCCGGTCCGGGAAGATCCCACATGCCGCGGAGTGGCTGGGCCGATGCGCCATGGCCGCTGAGCCTGTGCATCCGGAGCCTGTGCCCTGCAACGGGAGAGGCCACAACAGTGAGAGGCCCGCGTACTGCAAAAAAAAAAAAATAAAAGTAAAATTCGATCTTAGTTAAGGAGTTCCCAAGCTGTATGATGACATACACGTGTTGGCCTGTGGGCCATATTGGTTGCTGTATTCCTGGCTCCTTGGTCTTGCATTCTAGACTCATGCCAGCTTTTTTTTTTTTAATCAATAATCAAACAATTACATTTACTGTATATATATTATATGTCGAAATGCACTAAATTACCCATAAATAATTTTACTTAGCCTACTCAACAATCCAGTATAACAGTGGTTCTCAATAGGGACAATTTTGCTCACCAGGGGGCAAGTCTGAAAAGAATTTTGATTGTTCCAACTGGGGAATATACTGGCATCTAGTGAGTAGAGGCCAGGGATGCTGATAAACATCCTACAGGGCACTAGACACACGCCAGTTTTATTCATTCGTTGTTTAATTCATTCTTCATCTGGTTGATTGAATTGTTCAGTCAACAAACATGTGTTGGGCCTCACATATGTTCCAGGCAGAGTGTTGGATGCTGAGGATATAATAATAAAAAAGAAGCAGCCTCAGCCCTCAAAGTACTTAACTTCTACTAATGGAAGCAGATTTTATTTTATTTTATTTTTTATTTTTAGTTTTGGCTGTACTTTTATTATTTTGGCCATATTTTAAACTTTTGATCCAGCTTGCAGGATCTTAGTTCCCCGACCAGGGATCAAACCTGGGCCCTGACAGTGAAAGCGCCAAGTCCAAACCACTGGACCACCAGGGAATTCCCAGAAGCAGATTTTAAATGAGTCCATATTTGATTGCAGTCGAGAACAGGGCTGTGAAGGAGGAGTCCACAGTGTTTTGAGAGCATGTCCCAGAGAGACCCTGGGAGGTCAGGGGAGACTTCCTGGAGGAGGAGGTTCCCTTCAGCTGAGATGAGAAGCATGACAACAATGTTGGTCATGTTTGGAGGGATCATGCAGACCCTGAACATCACATTAAAGATTTTGCTTTTTAGTTTTAAGGCACTAGGAAGACCAGATATCTTTCTGATTCTCCTCTGGAATCTTAGCCCCATTTTGTTTGGCTGCTGGGCTGCTTTGTAAATTTTTTAATCTGACTGCCTTTCTTCAGGAAGGTGCTTATCAGAGCAGCCTCTTGCTCTTCTCACACCCACGTTTATCTGACCCCTGACTCCTGGAAGCATGTGTCTCCTCACAGCCGGGCCAGCTGCACCCACCTTTCCGCCCCAACTCTTGGATCTCTGCTGCCCTGGGACTCTGGCCAGAATCGCTCGCCACTGCCCAGGAAGCAGACCCCCTTCTCGCAGGCACCATGAGCCATTTCTTTCTTCTTCTTTCTGTCTGTCCACCTTTCTTCCAAGCTCTCCTGGTCTCCCTTAATCCCTAATCGCTTCTTTTGCAGAGGGCGCTGGGGTACCATAGATGTGCTGTCCCCGTTTTTACACCATGTACAAATGTAAGGAGTTTAAAGCCCAATTTACATTTGTATTACCTTGCTTTGGCTAATCTGCTTATTTTCAAATCCGTTTAGGATTTTCTGCATGGGGATTGTTACAGGGCTGCTCTGCTGGGCTGTGGGGTACAAAATCAAACCAGAGGCCATCTCCGCCTTCAACGACTGCAGGTGTGATGGAGTCAGAAACACGGAAACCAATGAGTGTTTCGGGTGTTAACGTGCAAACCTGCAGGCCCAAGGAAGGGGGTCGCCAGCTTTATCTGGGTGTCAGACAAATCTTTGAGAGCAGGGATGCGGGGTCCTTGCCTTGGGCGTTTTCAGCTGCAGTGGCAGCACGAGCAGAGGGGAGGCAGCAGGGGGAAGGCTGATGTGGCTGGCGTGGGTGAGGAACAGAGGGGGGGACTTGGGGGTCTGACCCACTAAAGACCCCAATGGGGCACCGTGAAGAGTTGGGGCTTTGCCCTGTGGGCGTGGAAAGCGATGGAAGCGCTGGCTTGACATCCTCAGAATATTGTAGCGAGATTGCTCGTGCAGCAGAATGATGGGTTATAGGATGGTGAGCAGGAACCTGACAGGCTCGATGAGAAGAGAAGTAATGAGGTCAGCTCCGTGTCTGTAGTGTGGCCGGAGAGGAGGAGATACGATCTGTCAGACGGGATGTGGCAGGTCCAGGAAAGAAGAACGCACAGATTCCTTTTCTGCCTTGTGTGCCGGAGCTGTTCAGTGAGAACAGGGGACTTGGAAGGAATGGCTTTGGAAGAAAGAAGATGATTCCACGTTGAGCATACCGTTCCTTGGGGAACATTCAGGGAGAGATGGGCAGTGTATGTTGGACAGATGGGTCTGTGACTCAGGGGTCGTCATCTGGGCTAAAGATGAGGCGCTGGGGAGCTGTGTGGGTGCACGGCATGGTGGGCAGAGAGCAGGCTGGGTTACACCCCCACTTGTCCCTTGGCCTGACTCCGTTTTACAGGGACCGACCTGCGCAAGCCCAGGTAGCGGCCTGGAACTTGCATTTCATCAGCAGAGAACTGAAATCAGGAGCGTGCAGGAGGTCACCCAGGGCAAGCCTCCAGGGGGAAGAGAGCCCTGCAGAACCATGCTTAAGGGAGGGGCAGAGGGGGCTCGGAAAGAATCGTCAGAGATGTGAGGCTTCCAGGAGCAGGCAATGTCCTGAATGGCAAAGGAAAAAAGCTTGTCAAGACAGACTGAAATACAGGTCAGATTTATGGTGGGGGAGGGGATATTGTAAGTCTTTGGGGAAAGCACACATTATTTAATAAATGGTGTTGGGCCAGATGGCTAACAGGGAAATTTTGTTGGGTAAGTTAATGCAATGACACTATTGTTTTCGTAGAAACTCAGCAAGGCCATCAGAGCATGAGACTTTGGGAGGCATCGTCCCCCCACCCATCTCCCCTTATCTCCTCACAGTTTATGGCTCTCTGGGGCATTTTGTCAGGCAGGGTGGTACTGAGCTCAGGCCCCAGGGTTCTGGTATCAGGAAGTTGCTTGTGCTGCAGTGCTCCGTTCCACCCAAAGTTGACTCTGTTGCCAAAAATGAGAGTGTGTTTAGTTTCTGGTTATTGAGCTATTATCAGTAGCCAGCCTATTCAGGGACCTAAGCTAGTGTTAAGCGGGACCTCTTACTTGCATAACAAATAACTGCATTTCAAGAAAATAGCACAAAGTCGTTTTGTTCCATTTATCATTGGAAGCCCAGATATGCACATTTAATCACTTAACAGCGATAGGGTCAGAGA